CGTATAATTGGTATTATTGTTTTAGCCTGTGGGTTTCTAACACATTGGAATTGTTCCTTTGGAATTGACATATAGTATATTGCAATGAACTATGAAGCATATTTATGGGAGTGCAACTTACTCAGTCTTCTTTATAACTAAGTTTTCTGTTGAATTTTCGCTGTTTGGCTAATTTTTCGCCTATTTCATCGGCTATTCAGACTCCCTCAGATGACTCGTGTAAGCTTGTCATTTTCACTGCTTTTATACATATACAATACTCATTCCACTGAACTGTCGTAGTTTTGCTAACATCTGTAAACGTTGCAGCCAGTGTGAATGGTGTGGTGAGACTATAATTTATGGATGATATTTGAGCGACACTAAACTAAACTTGGGAGTGTCCATCTAATAACTGTAATCAAATGAGGGTTATAAACCTGTGTGGGGAATTAGAATTATGATTTACAATTGATGGTTAGGAGTTAGGAATTAGATTTCGGGTCTTCATCACTAACTGATATTAGCTATAAAGCCAAAACTCTATTTAGCCAAATGAATGAGTGAATTTCACGCCAAAATCCGAGACCTGTTACTTTATAACTGATTGGTTCGTCCATAAATTATAGTCTCACCAATGATGTTTTTATTATCCAGTTCGCAACAATTTTCATCATTTGCCTTAATCTCAATCTAGATCAAACGAAAAAAATTGCTGTTTTAGAAGTCTTCTTCCTGCAATATAAGTAACAGCGAAATACAATTGTAGTGAACAGAACATCCGTGGGAAAATTGAATGCATTCAACACAAAATTACAGGACTTGTTAATAAAATCTAACAATCATCAAATAAATGCTTAATTTGCAAAATGCCTACCAGTTGTCTCAAAATGATTCAGGCTTCATTGTTCTTGCATTTTCATACAAATCACATCCTGTTTCTCTTATTTACTGTTCGATCCTCTGGGCTCTCTGCTTCCAGACATTCTGTTCACAATTAACATCATCTACTACTTATGTCAATATAAGTAACACACCACACAACTTCATTACGGTTGTCCACACAAATTCCGGCAGTCATCTGATTACCCCAATCACAAATGAAAAGAACTTCTTAGCAATCCCATTTGTTGTAGCCGCTCAATTATAATATCTTCTTTAAAATCCTCTGTGAACTAATCGTACTAATATTGGCGCCTTCAACTTGAAACCTCTCAAACGCTCCTGATTGTCTCGTCCATAGTCTCGCCAATAAATAATAGTAATAATGCGTAATATGGTGAATAAACTAAAGAGTTCGACCCCTGATAAAGTGATGAATATATATATATACTTCTAATTAATTAATTTCATTAAAATGAATCATTTATGTGAAACCCATTTGTTTTCTTTTCTCTCTTACTCTCCCCCGCTCTCTCCTTCCCACTCTCTCACTCTCTCACTTCCACTCACCCCTTCTCCCTCTCACTCCCACTCCCTCTCTCTCTTTCTATCATAGAACATGTTTATTTACATCTGTAATTGTTACATAACAGATGTAACTAGTTTGTTGTTTGTTTGTTTTTATTCATTAGCACAACACATTGGAAATTGATTTATTTTGTGTGTGTGTGCACTTTTTTGTTTTTTTTTTATTTTTATTTTGTAAACATGAAAAATTAAAAAAAATAAAACAATAAACAGATTGATTCAATATGTTGGATGATTTTAACAAACAAACAGTAAAAGGAGAAAAATGAGAAAAAAGAAAAAAAGAGAAATAATCATAAACTATAATGTAATTTGAAATAATGAAAAAAATTTGCTATAACCAAGGGGTATCAATCGAATAGAGTGAACGTATAAATGTATATTATTCATATACAAATAATGTTCCCTTTAATAAATTGTCAATCATAATGAGGATAATGAATTAAAAAAGAAGGATCAAAAGTAAGAGAAAGAAAGAAAAAAGAAAGAAAGAAAGAAAAATGAGAGAGAAGTTGAATTGTTTTGCTTATATCTTTCCATTGAGGTTTAACACTACAATTAATCAGTCTGTTATTGGCATATGTGCATACTGTGTGTATTGCCTCGATATTGTCTTAATTCACAAGCTTTTTGTAAACAATGATGGATAGTGGCTAGAATGAAACGTGCATCCTGGATTCCACTGCTAGAAACTATCCATCTTTGCTTATATATCTAGGCATACGCACAGTATGCACATATGCCAATAATAGATTGATCAATTGCAGTCTTAAACATCAATGGAAAGATGCAGATAAAACAATACCAAATGAATTTAAATTCACTCAATTGCACAAGCAGGTGATTATCAGGACTCAGTAGCTGAGTGGATAACGTGATGGCATTTGAAGAGTATGTCACTGGGTTCGACTCTCAGATTGAACATCAACTCTGAGGTAAAAGTGTATCCGGCTGACGAGTCCCAAATAGAACGAAACGCGCATCAAACTGGATTCCACTGCTAGCCACTATCCATCTTTGTTTATAGAATCAGTAGACAGTTTATATTGTAATCACATTGAGTTTTTTATTCAGTTCATTTATGTAAATTAATTTATAAGAGATTGAATTAATTCAAGTTCCAGAGTGAATATCAAATCTGAGATACAGTTATATCCAGTTGATGAATCCGAAATAGGACGTAATGGATGTCGTGGATTCTACTGCTAGTTACTGTGATGTGTGTTACTTATATCCACATAAGTGGTATATAACGGTGTGTATCATTGGTTTAGAATCAGGGTTTTCTAACTCCCTTAGGTGGATCCTCCATATCCATCAACCCGGTAAAACCGCATGATATTCGCCTTTCGTCCGTTCCATTTCGTAAACAAGACCTATGTCACTAGAAGGAAGTGAATAGGACTTCCTGGTAGTAATTGTATATGCGTGGCCATGTGAGAGCATTTTTTCTTTCTGTATTTAATTGAAAAAAAGTTTCATTATTAACAGTAAGATGTTCACTGTGAGACTAGAACCCAGTATCGTTTGTTTCGAACGCCATTAAGTTATCCACTTAGCTACTGAAGATGCATATATACCAATAAGAGATTGATCAATTGCAGTACTAAACATTATGAAATGAATTGATTATTTTTCTCCTGTTTGATCCCATAATCTAATATTTAGATTAAAGAGTCCTTCATTAATTCATTTTTTCAAACAACAACAAACAAACGAAAACTGGCACACTGTTCAACCACCGGAGAATACTCACTAATATTATGTTATTACCATTGATTTTCATGTGTTAATTCAGTCTGTTATATGATATTTACCTAGTTGCTATAACCATTTTGTAATCAATTAATCAATTCATATTATTACGTAACATTAACCCACTGTTTTCTAAAAAAAAATAGAGACACTTTTTTTATTTTTCTAATATAATTGTAATACCGGCGCCATATTTCTTTAACAGACCCCATTAAATCAACCGATTAGAATGAATAGGTTTTCTCTTTTTGTTTTTGGTACATTTTAACTATAAACTATAGTTATACTATAGAAGAATGATGAGCTATTTGAACAGATTAATGAAAATAATATTCATCAAAGATATCTAATGAATTAACAACCAGTTATGATCAGTATGAGACTTTGATTGAGATCATGAATCGATTGATATTAGATGACCATTGAAAATCTACTCACTATTTACTAACTTCTGGTGAGAAATCATAGCCATTGGAGCTCATCCATGTCGGGTAGAGACAAGTAACTATCTCAGTACAATTGAAGATAGTCGCGCAATTTCATGGATTGGTTGGAGTTAGACATTAAAACCATTGGATACCAGCTCAATGGTCTCGAGATTAAGCGTTCACACGCGAGATTGAAGGTCCTGGATTTGAGTTTCGCTGAGCGGGATCTTGGATATGCACTGCTGAAGAGTCCCAAACTATGAAGAAACGGCAGTTCAGAACAATCGAATTCATTGGTCTGTTTGTTGGTTGGAGGTAGTCAACAGGAAACGCTGGACCTAGTTTTTGTAATACTTGGCACTTGTTAGCAACATGTATCTGTTATCTCAGTCCGACAGGAGATCAGTCGCGGCCCGGATAACTCAGTGGTAAAGTCTCTGACTGTGTAGCTGGGTTACATGGGACAGAGTTCGTCAGGTAGCATCAGTTCCCTCAAGAATACAGGTACAGCTTATTGGTAATATATTTCGTTGCTGACTAGTTAGGTTTGATCACCATCTTACGACATTTTTAAACTCACAAAATATGTTATTTTCAACAGAATTTTTCATACATCATTTCAGATAAAGATACTGAGTAGCACAAGTAAACTGAAACAACCGGTGCATTTATGGATCAAATCAGATATCAATCATCAAATTATTGAAAAAGCTATGCATTCTGATTAGAATAGTAATAGATACTTACTATTGAATTGATTCACTTCAAGTCTGTGTCTCATTATCATTTCCTGTTGCATAACGCCCATATCGGCTTACAACACAATAATCAACATAAATAATATTCAGTGTTAGAATACATGTCACCATACCTCATTACTCCACTATCATCTGTGTTCATGTGATGATGATTCATTTGAAGGATCGATGTGGGATTTGTGGTGGTCCCCAAACAAAAGGAGCTTACACAAGATATATTGATACACTAGGTTAACAATGATATACCAAAACAAATTAATGGTTGAGAAACCTACATGTCTTTCCGTTAGTAAAAACAAAGGTAATAAAATACCGTTAGCAATACAAAAGGTATATTAAACAAAACAGACGCTAACAGTTACTATAGAATGAATGTTACTTGTTAACTGCCTCGTGAGGACAACGACCACAAACTGAGTTCACTTGATTGACAGGTGTTCCTCTGCAAGTGACTGCACCAATGACGTAATGAGGAAGACGGAGTCCAATAGTATTAGACAATAGTAATCCGTGCCGAAAGTCCAACGTTGAGTCGGAAGGCCTATAATGATGTTATAATACTATTATAGTCTTCAATCAAAACGGTAGCCAATAAAACAGAAGAACAAACGGCGTAGGTAGTGTTTTATATTTTAAACCACCCGGGAGTAGAGGTGTGTATCATTCATCGAAACAATTATCATCGTCTTTTAACAAGTGATACAGCAAAACAACAGATATTGAATAAAATTGTGGTTACACTAAAGTGTGACAAATTACAGAAAAAATTGTGGATTCTATTTTTGTTGTTACAAAAATTACTGAATATATGTCACCATATAACTCCCCCCCTAGGGCATGCGTCAGTGAAAGTATGCCCGACGTAAAACTTTAAATGCTTTGGAGGGTGGAGAAAATTACAGAACGAATAGGGTAAACAAATGTTATTTTAAAAAAATCAAACGTGTATACATATTTAAGAACAAAATGTTTCTCTTGTAGTAAAGAGACTTTAATGTATATACAAATTTTAACAAGAATAACGGAGTATAAATAATAATAATATCATTAGTAATAACGGTAATTAAATTGAGGGTTCACCGAAAAGTGTAAATACATGTATAAATTGTGTAAACAATTAGTGATAAACTGAACGAGTCCAACGAAAATGAATATCTTTGCACAATTAGTAATAAACATCATATGAAACACATACACATGTAGAGAAAAACATAATGAATTTATCAATACTAATAGTACACAATAATTTTTTTAGAAAAAAAATGCTTGCATAAAAAGAAATGTTATTAGTAACTCTGCTAATATGGATATTCAATCACATTACAGGTAATGACAGAATAAAGATTAAGTAATTAATTCAACATAACATTTAGGAAAATGTACATGTCTTCCTGAACGAGTTGTTTTCGTAGAGGTAAAGTGTCGGAACTAGGATTTAAATTTGTGGAAACTGTAACCTTAGAACCGTCTGTTTTACCGAAAATTGATTTCGTCGGAGCTGGTGAAGAATTATTTGGAAACACTGGAAGCTGTGTTTCAGATTCTATAAAAGCAGGTTTTATCCGGTCGATTGAAACTGTTTCTTTTTTTCCGTTCTTATTGATTGTGAAATATTTTGTTTGCCTCTCAACTACTTTATATGGTCCTTCATAAGGATGTTGTAGAGGGCGTCTTACTGAGTCAACACGAACAAATACAAATTTACACGTATTTAGATGCTTGCTCGGCCATCTAGTGAAACGGTCCACTGCAGTAAAAATGTAAGTGAATCCATTAGATGGGGGCAGAGGACCAACCAAATCAACATGAACATGTTGAAAACGATGGTCGAGTAGACTAAATGTTGTAATCGTATGTCTATGTATTTTACTGCGTTGACATTGTACACAAGTCCTGGTCCATTTTTTTATAGTTGCATTCATCTTTGGCCAAACAAATCTTTCGGCAATCAGTTTCACAGTAGCACGAATCCCTGGATGGGATAGTGAGTGAAGACAATCAAAAACTCTTTTTCTGTACACTATTGGCACAAAAGGTCTGTGCGTTCCAGTAGAAGTATCACAAATGATAGTAGAGTCAGAATGCGGTATGGGAACACTGTTTAAGGACAAGCTCGAACTTTGTTTACAAGCATCAAGGTCAGGATCATCTGTCTGCAAACGTGCCATGTCTAATAAATCGATTCCTTTGGTGGAGGAAATTGCATCGACATTGAAACGTGACAAAGTATCCGCAACAACATTTGACTCACCTTTTATAAACTGTATGTTGGTCGAAAATTGGGAAATATAATCCAATTGTCGTATTTCTCTAGGGGAATAACGGTCACTTTTCGCGTTAAAGGCATAGGTTAAAGGTTTGTGATCAGTGAGTATCACAAAGTCTCTGCCTTGCAGTAAATGGTTAAAATGTTTAACAGCTAGATAAATAGCCAATAGTTCTCTACCGAAAGTGCTATATCGAGTTTGGGTTGGTTCTAGCTTCTTTGAAAAGAAGGCAAGTGGTTTGACCTCATCATTAACTCGCTGTTGTAGTACTGCACCTACTGCTGCCTGTGATGCATCTGTACACAGAATTAGTGTTGCTTCCGGATCAGGGCTTAAGTAGGTCAGCATGGTAGTAGAAGCGATTGCTGTTTTAGCTGCAGAAAAGGCATCTTTCGCTTGGGAGGGTAATGTAAACTTTTTGACTTTACCTTTTAACACCTCCGTCAAAGGTTGTAGGATGGCTGAGCAATGTGGAATAAAGCGACGATAAAAATTGATCATCCCCAAGAAACGTCGAATTTTATTCAATGAGTCTGGTTCTGGAAAATTCCTGATGGCTTCTATTTTTGTATCCAAAGGTTTAATTCCATGTTTGTCGATCAAGTGACCTAAAAACTCTAAACTCTCAACTCCGAAAATACATTTGGATGGGTTAATCACTATGCCATATTTCTGAAATCTTCCGAATAATTGATGTAGGTGATCAGCGTGTTCATGGAGCGAACTGCTAGCTATTAAGACATCATCAATATACACGAAAACAAAATCTAGGCCTTTAGTGACCTCATCCATAAATCGTTGAAATGTTTGTGCGGCGTTCTTTAATCCAAAAGGCATTCTTAGGAATTCAAACAAACCAAATGGAGTAATGATGGCTGTTTTTGCTATGTCCTCGGATGCTACTGGAATCTGGTGGTACGCTCGCACAAGATCAATTTTAGAAAAAATTTGCTTGCCATGTAATGTGAGAGAAAAATCATGCAAATGAGGGATTGGGTAGCGATCCGGTAATGTCAGGTTGTTCAATGATCTATAATCACCACAGGGTCGCCAATCTTGGTCTCGTTTGGGCACCATGTGGAGTGGGGATGCCCAGGGGCTACTTGACGGACGTATTATACCTAGCTGCATCATATGATCAAACTCAGCTTTTGCAACATTCACTTCGTCCGGTGGTAATCGGTGTGGACGTGCCGAGGTTGGTTGACCTTTTGTGATGATCCGGTGTACTACAGAATGTTGGACAGTGTTTTCACTATAGTCTGGTTTCGTTATTTTGGGAAATTTAGATAGAATGGTGGCGAATATGTCGTTCCCTGGGGTGTCAATTTTAATACTATGTATGTGGTAGTCCGACTGAATTCCCTGGATTTGAAGGTTCGTACAGGAATCAATAAGTTTTCTTCTCTTAACGTCAACTACTAGGTTGTAGAAACTGAGAAAATCTGCACCTGGTATAGGGTGACGGACATCCGCAATAATAAACACCCAGGTTAAATTACGTCTAATTCCCAAGTCTAATTTTAGAAATTGTTCGCCAAATGTCTTTATTTCTGTTTTATTAGCTGCCCTTAGGGTATATTTTCCACTCTTAGCAATAGGTTTATTGGCTAAGGTAACTGGGTTGACACTAACTTCAGCTCCAGTATCTACTAAGAATTTGTACCATGAAGTTTTATCAAGAACGTGGAAAAGACGAGTAGGCGCACGACCAGAAACATTTGTCGCTACCATGGTTTGGTTGACACGTTTTGTTGAGGAAAATGACTTGAAAAATTTACAAGACGTAACACATTTCCTAGCTTTTTCACCATATTTTTTATGGTACCAACATATGTTGTCGTCGTTTTTGTTTCTGTTTGAGTTATCTCGATTCTTACTCCCTCAAGAACTAGAGCGAGGTCTTGTAGATCTGAAGTTGGAGATTATTAATTGTAATGCATCCAGTTTATTTTCAAGACTGGTGACAGTTCGTTCATGTTGTGCTCGTAGTTCGCCCAGTTCAGCAGTTAACGATGCTATGGTGGGAGTTTGCTTATCGTTCGAAGTTTCTCATATTGCCTGTACGTAAGGTGTAGTACAGGGCGTAACTTCTAAAATTTTATCGGCCATACTGGCAAGACTTTCTAAATTTGATGGTTGGCTAGAGGCGCAAAGAATTTGCCTAACTACTGTTGGCAAACGTTGTAGCCAAATTTCCTTGAGGAAGGCGTCATCAAATTTATAAGGGCCAGCTAATTGTCTCATGTGTCGTAATAATTGAGACGGTGATTTGTCGCCTAGCTCACAATCGTGCAGTAACTGCTGTAATCTCTTTTATCAGATAATGAGAAACGTTGAATAATTGCCTGCTTCAATTGATCATATGGATTAGGTGCAGGAATACTATCTATCAAATCTGACACCTCAGATGCAACTTCAGTGGGTAGTAATCCAAGCACAAAAGAGTATTTAGATGCCTGTGAGCGTATGTTGCGACGCTGAAATTGTACTTCTACTTGCGCAAACCAAATGCGAGGATTTAATCGGCCGAATGGGGGCACATTTATCAAATTTAGAGCGTGTAGCTCTGCTGAAATGTTATCCTGGCTAATGCCTTCAGTTTCGGATGAGTACATTACAAATATACGAAAATTTAAATACTGCCAAGGGTAAAATAACGCCCTAATGTCTGTGAGTGAACTCAAAAGTAGTTTCGATAGAAAAAATAATTTACGGGCTCACCAAATTTATGGTGGTCCCCAAACAAAAGGAGCTTACACAAGATATATTGATACACTAGGTTAACAATGATATACCAAAACAAATTAATGGTTGAGAAACCTACATGTCTTTCCGCTAGTAAAAACAAAGGTAATAAAATACCGTTAGCAATACAAAAGGTATATTAAACAAAACAGACGCTAACAGTTACTATAGAATGAATGTTACTTGTTAACTGCCTCGTGAGGACAACGACCACAAACTGAGTTCACTTGATTGACAGGTGTTCCTCTGCAAGTGACTGCACCAATGACGTAATGAGGAAGACGGAGTCCAATAGTATTAGACAATAGTAATCCGTGCCGAAAGTCCAACGTTGAGTCGGAAGGCCTATAATGATGTTATAATACTATTATAGTCTTCAATCAAAACGGTGGCCAATAAAACAGAAGAACAAACGGCGTAGGTAGTGTTTTATATTTTAAACCACCCGGGAGTAGAGGTGTGTATCATTCATCGAAACAATTATCATCGTCTTTTAACAAGTGATACAGCAAAACAACAGATATTGAATAAAATTGTGGTTACACTAAAGTGTGACAAATTACAGAAAAAATTGTGGATTCTATTTTTGTTGTTACAAAAATTACTGAATATATGTCACCATAGATTACACGTTTGTTTGTGTGTAGGTGTGTGTGTGCCAGAGTGGGAGGGTAAACTGATATGGGAAGACGTTATTTATCGTTTCTACAATTAACACCATCCATCCTACACATGAACATTCAACACAAATTTGTGTGATGGAAAATTCCCACAAACCACCCTTCTATCTTGGTGCACTTAGTGCAAACTTAATTCATCACAATCATGCGTACTTCTGTTTCCGATATTAATTACCTCCTTCTTTCCTATATCACTAACAGAATTACTATGACCATTTGTATCTGTTAATGACTTTGTTGTAACGTCATCCATGTCAACATCACGTTACATTTGAACAAAGCTACTTCAATTTGTCCAAAGAAATACAAGTTACATAATGTTTGTTTACATTTTATTAAGTAACTATAAGGTCATATTTGTGTTTTAACTAACTACCTAATGTAAGTAATTTATAACATGACCATCAGTAGTAGGTCAGTCTATAATTAATGTTGATTAATGATATCGAGTGTTGTGACTATAAATAGTTTATGATTAGAGACTGGTTTTGTAAAGTAGAATGTAAGCACTCGATTTTTTTTCTGATTTACATTACTTACTTACTTAATTACTTAATTCCTTAATTTCACACTTAATTAATTACTAACATACCTACTTACTTAATTACTCACTTCCACAGTTACATACTTACTTACGTCCACAATTACTTACTTATTTGCATACTTCCACACTTACTTATTTAATTACTTACCTACTTCCAAACTTACATACTTCCTTACATAATAACTTATTCACTTTCTTCCACACATACATACTGACCTAATTACTTACTTACTTACTTATTTACCTACTTACTTACTTACTTACTTATTTCCTTACTTACACACTTACTAACTCACTTACTTACTTCAACACTTACTTACTCACTAACTTCCACACTTACTTACTTATTTTCTTAATTCCACACTTACTCAATTTCTAACTTCACAAAATACCCACTTACTTACTTACCTACATCCACTCTTACTCACTTACTTACTTCATTAGTTACTTTCACATTTACTTATTTACTTACTTATTCACTTGCAGTATTAGGTACTTACTAACCTACATATTTACCTCCAAACTTACATACTTACTTACTTTGTTCCACCTAATTTCTCAATTACTTACTTCCCAACTTACTTAGTTACTTATTTAATAACTCCCACACCTACTCACTTAATTAGGTACTTACTTACTTCCACACTGACTTAACTACTTAATTGCTTACCTACACAATAACTTAATTATATACTTCCACAATTACTTACTTGCTTACTTACTTACGTCCACACTTACATACTTACACATTTAATTACTTACTTACTTAATTACTTACTTATTTCCACACATACACACTTACTTACTTACTTAATTACGTACTCATTTATCTCCAAACTTACTTACTTATTTGCTGACTTAATTAATTACATACTTCCATACTTACTTAATACTTTCCTTACTTACTTCCAAACTTACTGACTTACTTACTTATTTACTTACTTACACACTAGATTACTTACTTACTCTTTTTAGTTATCTCCACACTTACTTACTTACCTAATTACTTACTTACATACTTACCTACTTACCCACTTACTTATTTACTTAGTTACTTACGCACATACTGAATCACTTACTTATTTCCCCATTTAATTACTTAATTACTTCCACTTTTACTTACTCAATTTTTTACTTCCCAACATACTTAATTGCTTACTTACTTAATTATTTACTTACATACTTAGATAATAATTACCTAATTACTTAATCACTTACTTACTTACACACACACCCACTTACCAACTTACGTACTTACGTACTTACTTCCACACTTACCTACTTATTTGCTTTTTAATTACTTACTTACTTCCTGACATACTTACTTGCTTACTTACCTCCTTAATTCCACACTAAATTACTTACGGACTTACTTCCACACTTACATACTTACCTACTTCCACACTTACTTACAAACTTACATACTTACTTACTGATTGCCACACTTACGTACATACTTACTTACTTCTGTAGAATTATGTTCTACTACGATATTAGTACTGCTCTAATAATAGACCTAATCCTAAAATTGTAGATTTGTCATGATATAACTACCTAATCTATAAGATCTTACGTGGAAGTCACACCACCGACTACACCAACTCACTGTATCGTATCAATTACCAATACATGGTGTAGAACAAGGTTAGGCTAGAGAAGGAACAATATATTTAATATGAATAGAAGGTATAAAGTAACATTCAGATGAACCACGCCTGCATGGTCGAGCCATGCCATCCGATCAACTCCAGTCCATTCAATTCATTGTTCGCGCCCTCTTCATTGTTAGGTATTTATCCGCGTTAAATATTGAATATCTATTTTCTGAGTAGTCTCAAGTTCACAGCTTTGTGGATTGTGTGGCTATTGTCCAATGCCACTACACTTCCACACTTACTTACTGACTTACCTACTTACTTACTTACTTCCTCACTTAATTACATAGTTAATTATTTATTTACTTACTTATTTACTTACTTACTCACGTACTTCCTTAGTTACTTACGTATTTCCACACTTCCTTACTTACTTACTTGCTTACTTTCAAACTTACATACTTACTTACTTGTTTACTTACTTCCACACTTAATTACATACTTATTTAATTACCTAATTAATTAGTTACTTAGTTACTTACTTAATTACTTACCTACGTACATACTTATTTACTTACTTACACACTTACTTACTTAATTACTTACGCACTTCCACGCTTACGTACTTAACTTATTATTTCCACAACTACTTACTTACATACTTACTTACTTATTTACTTACCTACTTACTATTTTCCACAATTACTTACTTTCTTACGCATTTACTTACTTATTTAATTCCACAATAAATGACTCACATACTTATTTCGCAACATACCTACCTACTCACTTAATTACTTCCACACTTACTCCCTTAATTAATTACTTACTTACTTCCATGCTCACTAATATACTTACTTAATTACTTACTTATTGACATGGACATTTAGTTTTTATTTACTTTATTACTTACTTCCACACATACTTCATTCCACACTTAATAACATACCTAATTACTTACTTACTTATTTACTTACTTAGTTACTTACATATTTACTTACCTACGTATTTACTAACATACTTATTTACTTCCTTACACACTTACTTACATACTTACTTACTCCCACACTTACTAACATACTTTCTTATTTCCACACTTACTTATGTACTTACGTACTTACTTACATACTTCCACACTTACTTACGTATATACAAACTTACCTACTAATTTCCACACTTAGATACTTAGTTACTTACTTAATTACCTCCACAATTACTTACTAACTTGATTACTTACTTACTTACTTCTACACTTACCTACTTACTTACATATTTACTTACTTCCTAACTAACTTCCACAATTACTTTTGTCACATTTTTTTTATAAAAAAAATTTGTTACAATAATAAACGAGTAAACTCTATTTAATTACTCATTTGTTGTACACACACACAAAAAAAATAAGCAGTTCATTTTTTTTTGGGTTCAGTAACAGTCTGCACATTATTATCATTGTTAGCAAACCAAGATTTTAAATGACAATATTCTCATTACTTTTGTTTGTCATGCTATGCCACATCACCGCCATTTTCACGCAATAACACACTGTATATTATTAACGTACATGCCATACGCATCTCCACATTGTTAATTGGTTATTAATGTAAATATTATTTTTTTTTTTTTATAAAATTTTTCTTATTGTTATTACAACCAGTGTTACCTCCGGACACTCTGGGGGGAGCTATGTGGAGATATGACTGACAAGCTTATTTTGTAAATAGTTTTTAATATTATTTGTATTTGTTTCGTCAATTTTTCACTGTATGTACATTTATCATTAAATGACTGTACATGTTGTTTTAGTCAATGACCTTGAAGACACTTTCCGTTGAGCTACTACATAGCGTGACATATTAGTGCTGGTTAGCAAAATACATTACTACACACGCATTCCTCGTTCTATCTTCATTTGTGATTGAGTTAATGGAAGTCTAAATCAAATACTATCTACATTTATAGACTATAATCGGAATATATCACATCCAACGTTGGACTATATCGCTAGAGAGTTCACCAACCTGCTCAGAGTCATCAAACATTTATAATTGTGGATTTACATTACTGGACCTAATCAGAACACGCAACGTTTGGGCAATTTAAGTAACGTCCCCAATTTTTATTGTATTTGTAACAATTAACTGTATATATTAATATTACTATTTATCTTTAGTAACTTTATTTATACTTTTTGCGTTCATATTTGTCTGGTCCACCACACTTTCTTACTTACTTACTTACTTCCACACTTACTTACTTACTTATTTACTTACTTACTAACTAACTTCCAAAATTACTTTCTTACATACTTACTTACTTCCACACTTACTTACTTTTTTAATTACTTACTTAATTCCACACATACTTACTTACTTACTTACTTACATATTTACTTACTTTCACACTTACTTCCTTACTTACATGCTTAGTTACTTAATTCAACACTTGCTTACTCACATATTTATTTACCAGCTTACTTACTTATTTTATTACTTCCAAACTTACTCATTTACATACTTACCTAATTACTTCCACACTTACATACCTACCTACTTATTTACTTATTTACTTTCTTACTTCCACGATTACATACTTTTTTACATACTTACTTACTTACTTCCACACTTTCTTACCTAATAACTTACTTTCTTCCAAACATACATACTTATTTACTTACTTGCTTACTTACATACTTCCACACCTACTTAGTTACTCACTTCCTTAATTATAAAATTACTTACTTATTTACTAACTTAATCAATTACTTACTTACAAACTAACTAACTC